ACCAAAGGGGAGTAAGGTGCTAACAGTTTTCAGAAATTATAGTATTTTCATTAATTTAATTACCTCACATGTGACTTTCAAGCTTTCCTAAAAAAATGCATATTTCAAAAATGAAATCTTACACTATAGTTCAATTAATCTAGAAGGTTGACAGACATGAAGAATCATAGTAAATGGTGCCAACTTAAAAAAAGTGGAGCTTCTTGCATAAGATGCAATAATTAATCTTAATATTTTTTTATTAGCATACATATTGGCAAAAATAAGTCAGCGGTCGTGTACGCCCGCCGTGGCATAACTGACATTATCATTCCCTTAGTGACAAGCGGTCGTCTTTTTTGAGTTTGAATTTTTGAACTTCGGATCAGAAACATGAAATAAAAATGCTTTGCAACTAGGTTTGTTTGTTTTTGTCGAACGTAGCATTCCAAAATAACAGAGTTCCAGGCGCCACTGGTACTGTATAATGATAACGCCAATCTGCCTGAATCCCGACCACATCAGTCCCGAATGGCCTCAAAAAGACATTATATATCGAAGAAAATAGGCGCCTTCTATAAAGTGAGAAAATACTGCAGAGGTTGCTATGCTAAAAAAGTTCATGTTGAAATGCCAAAAAGCAGGGTGAAAAAAGTCATTACCTACTATGCTTCATGTGAAGGTGAACCTCATTTTCGATTATACTTTAACAACCTACACTTACTAAAATAATATTCAGTCGCCTTATGTAAATAGAGATATTCAATAGCCTTGTTTTGTACTTAATTCCCCAGGGTTCCACCTAGCATATGTTTTTTATTTATATTTCTCAATAAAAGTTAAAAAACGACTTCAGAGATAATTTTCACTTTCCCTTGTAAGCTACACCGAAAATCGCTAACTTAAGCTAGGCGTACAGGGTGACTTTGAAGTTGAGTCATTAATTTTCAGATGATAAACCAAAATATGTGTAAAAATAAAAAAAAAATTTACCTTGTTTTATAAAGTATCCTCCCGACAAGTATTTCAGTGCGGACCTGTATTTGATCGTGAGGTCTTGGAGCACCGGCATGCTCTCCCCTGTGAGGTCTTAAGTCACCTGATTCACGAGCTCGTTGTACTACATTAACAAAGGCACGAGGGGTTGGTTGCACTCGATTGGGAAACCGATCCGCATAAACATGTGCCATTTTTTATTTCGTTTGGGCCACGCAGCAAACACCACTATTCACTCACGCGTTACCGACTGACACATTGACTGAATAAAAACATCGTGATCAGCGTTTCAAATTCTTTCGCTTTTTTGTTTCCGATGCGATGAACCGATAAGGCGGATTATATACGTTGTTGCCAAACACGAGCACATAATATTATTATTGAGACAGGGCGGTACTCAAACTTCTAAAGGGCTATAACTTTGTTACTTTAATTTTACCACAAAAATGTTAAAGGAAAAAACATTTCTTTTGATCAGATCTACTCACTGTTAAAATAAATGACTCAACTTCGAAGTCACCCTGTATATGCCACAGCAGTCTTCTACCATAATAATTATATATGCCTATCAACGACCGTTGGCACAGCATACATGAATTTTTAAGGCAAGTGTGGAGCGGTCGCAGATAACCTCCCTGGTGTGGTGGTGTTATTTACAAGCGGTCGAGTTAACCAGTTTTATTTCCTTTTTCCAGGTTCTGAAGAAGCCTCGTTTTGAATTGTCAAAACTCCTGGAGCTCCACGGTGATGGTGGCAAAGGAGGTGCAGGAGCAGGCGACGGCGCTGGCGGCGAGGCAGGCTCCAAGGTGGACAGGCCTGAAGGTTACGAACCTCCAGTGCAGGAGACTGTTTGAACTTTTTTACTGTTATGTATAAATGTGGAATAATATAATATAAAAACAGATATTTTAATTCTCATTTATATATACCCAAACAGCTTCAAACATTAAAATGCTGAATCCGCATCACAGAAAGTAATCTGGTGAAATTAACTTCTCAAGTTTATTTGTCCAATATCTCGAACTAGAATTTTCTGCAGAGTAGTTTGTCATAATTCCGATTCGGAAAATTGGAATTACGATCACAGAACGCACGAGAGGTAATGCGCTAGAAACAAGAATTTTCTGTCGGGACCACTTTGTCATGCCTCGTGTACTTGGGATCCCAATAGTAAATCTCCCCTGACTGCTGAATTTGTTTCGAAAAATTACCAGGATCACAGGACAAGCAAGAGAACATGCTAGACAGGGATTTTCTATCAGAAGCACATACCTCCTCGCGTTTCGGTTAAGAAAGCGACTTTCAACTTTATGAATTTGCAAGACTAGTAATTATCGTTAACCAACTTTGGCTAGTAATATGCTATAAATGCTAGGAGCACTTTCTCACGTATCTGCGATAGCACTCGCCGACTTTTACAAATCTGCAAAACTTATAGCAAATTTCGAGAAAGCTCGATTCGTATAATTCTGTCAGGATCATAGAATAAGCAAAAGCTGGTATGCTAGACGAATGAATTTTCTGCCAAGAGCACTTTCGCATACCTTCTCACGTTTTTACAATCCTGGTAGCAAATCGTCACTCATTTGCCTTTACGAATCTGCAAGACAGCAAATAATCATTCATAGAGTTTTATGAGTTTGTTTGGTTCGTGAAACCCTGTATCAGGATCACAGAACGAGTGATAGGTAATATGCTAGACTCGTGAATTTTCTGCCAGGAGTACTTTCGCATACCTCCTTGCGTTTCTGTAATCCTGATAGCAAATCGTCACTCATTTGACTTTACCAATCTGCAAGACATAGCAAATCATCATTCATAGAATTTTATGAGTTTGTTTGGTTTGTGAAATTCTGTATCAGGATCATAGAACGAGTGAGAGGTAATATGCTAGACGCTCGGATTAACGGTGCAGGCAGCACCTTTTCATACCTCCTCGCCTGTATGCGGTCCTGATAGCAGATCGTCACTCACCGACTTTTACAAATCTGCAAAACTGATAGCAAAGCATCAAACTCGTAAAACTATGAATGCATAGTTTTACGAGTTTGTTTGGTTCGCCGAAATGTATCAGGATCACAGAACAAGCGAGAGACTATATGCAAGATTTACTGTGCAGGCAACACTCTTTCATACCTCCTCGTCTATATGCGGTCCTGATAGCAACTCGTCACTCACCGATATTGACGAGTCTGTAAGACTGATACTAAATCATAATTCGTCAACTTTCATGAGTCTATTTAATTCGAGAAATTCTGTATCAGGATCACAGACCGTGTGAGAAGTAATATGCTTAGACGCATGGATTTTCTACCGAGACCGCTTTCTCCATACCTCCTCGCATTTATGTGATCCTGATAGCTCACCACTCTCACCGACTTTTACGCATCTGCAACACTGATAGTAAATCAACGTTCATAGGGCTTTACGAATTTGTTTGGTTCGTGAAATCCTATACCAGGATCACCGAACAAGCGAGAGGTAATATGCTAGGCGCTCGGATTTACGATACCTCCTCGCCCATATGCGGCTCTGATAGCAGTTCATCACTCGCCGACTTTGACGGATCTACTCAACTGATAGCAAAACTTATTCGTTGACTTTTACGAGTCTGGTTAGTTCGTGCAATCCTGTATCAGGATCACAGAACGAGTGAGAGGTAATATGCTAGACGCTCGGATTAACGGTGCAAACAGCACCTTTTCATACCTCCTCGCCTATATGCGGTCCTGATAGCAGCTCGTCACTCACCGACCTTGACGGTTCTGCAAGACTGACAGGAAATCATGATTCGTCGACTTTAATGAGTCTGTGTGGTTCAAAAAACCCTGTATCAGGATCACAGAACAAGCGCTTGCAGCACCTTTTGATACCTGCTCGCCTATATGCGGTCGTGATAGCAGCTCGTCACTCACCGACTTTTACAAATCTACAAAACTGATAGTAAATCATCATTCATAGTTTTACGAGTTTCTTTGGTTCGTGTGAAGTCATGTATCAGGATCAGAGAACAGGCGAGAGGTAATATGCTAGCCGCTCGGATTTAGTGCGCTGGCGGCATTTTTCCATTCCTCCTCGCCTATATGCGGTACTGATATCAGCATGTCACCCTCCGACTTTGGAGAATCAGAAACATCATACATCGACTTTTACGAATCTGTTTGGATAGTGAAATCCTGTATCAGGATCACAGAACAAGCGAGAGGTAATATGGTAGACGCTCGGACTTACGGCGCAAGCAGCACCTTTTCATACCTCCTCGCCTATATGCGGCCCTGATAACAGCTCGTCACTCACCGACTTCGACGAATCTGATGATTCGTCCACTTTTACGAGTCTGTTTAGTTCGAGAAATCCTGTATCAGGATCACAGACCAAGCGAGAGGTAATATGCTAACCGCATGAATTTTCTGCCAGGAGCTCTTTCTAATACCTTCTCGCATTTATGTGATCCTTGTAGCAACTCGTCACTCTCACCGACTTTTAGGAATCTTCGTGGCTGACATCGAATCATCAATTGAATGACTTTTACAAATCTGTGAGACTGATCGCGAATCATCACTCATAGAAGTTTATGCGTCTGTTTCGTTCGACAAATGGTGTATCAGGATCACATAACAAGCAAGAGGTAATATGCAACTCTTGGTTTTACTGCCAGGAGCACTTTCTCACACCTTCTCGCGTATCTGCGATACTGATCGCAAATATTCGCTCGCCGATTCTTAAAAATACGCAAGGCTGAGCATTCCAAAAAATCCTGTATGCTGAGATCTTAAAGCTTTTTCATACCTGCTCGCGTTTCTGCTGCCCTGGTATTCTCAATGCTACGTTGTCAGATGTCTAACTATCATTGGGAAATGAAGTAAAGCTACTAAATGGTATAAATACTGATATATTTTTTAAATCTTACAATCACAGTGAAATAACAAATACACTCATTCGTAAATAAATCATAAAACGTACATACAAATCTATGATATTTTTAGCTTAATAACTAAAATACACAAAAACTGACTTGTTAAAGTCTGAATTGAAATCATTTTTATGATTGACAAAATTTTAGAAGAAGCGATGAGGAATTAAAGCAAAAAGGACAAGAAAAGACTAGCTATGAACATAAAAAAAGTAGGAAATGCGTTCTACAGCTATTTCAAAATATGGCAAAAAATTCACAAACGAAATGTACAAAAGTGTGAAATAAATAAAAGTGAAAATAAGATGGTTGAGATGAATAAATCTGATGATGTTGATAACTATAGGCATAACATGTTATCTAATACACTATATACCGCTAGGTATAATTGTAACGGTAATATGGCACAATTGGTATTTATGGAATGACACATTTTGAAAAAAGATCGTTTTAAAGTCTACAAAATTTCTGCCTACTAAAAAAGTACCCAAAAAAGGCACCGTCATTTTATATGTCTTTTCTAAGGCACTAAATCTATGAGAGAAGGCCTCTATTGTCTAGAACTGCTACTCTACAACTAAAAATACTGTCTTTTGTAATTTACACTTGTTCCCTACTCCGTAAGTTAAAATATATTTGGATATAAATTAAATACAACAACTTCCTCATCAGTTATACAGAGGTGTAAAATATATACCGGATCTTTTATACTCTACAATATTTGTGTACATATATATTTATAACTTTCAAAAAATTGAAACTTCAGTCAGATTTAGAATCGCTTGATCTAGTGTTTTACATTTTCAAGTAGGTATCTTATTTTCCTCAGTACGGCATTTTGTTATGAGTTACGTACATAATAAATCTTAGATGCATATGTACAATAAATATACAACATATTAGATTTTTTTATACATGTTATTTACAAAATTATTAGTATACCAGTTGTACGTCTCGTTTCTTAGAATACTAAAAAGTTACTAATTTAATAAATTTCTGAAAATTCTCATCTTTGCTACAAGAGCTTATTCCATCATATACAGAGGGTATCCCCATAATTGGGACTTTCATTTCCACAATGTACAATTTTCAAAAAATAAGCGGGTTTTCATTGTGGCATATACTTCAAAGTAATAGGCTCCACAAAACCTCCCCATGCATTGGCAGCGTAGGTAAACAAAACATTTATCGAAAAGAACCAAATGGTACAATCGTACAGCAATATCGGATTTGCCGATATCTTTTTAATTTATGGTGAGTGTCTTCAAAATGCTACCGAGGCTTCGTGAGTGTATGCAGATCCCTTTCGCAGACGTTATCATTCTGGGCCGCGCAGATTGGTTTACCTTATGCAAAAAGCTAGAGATATATTCCGTTTGCAGGAATGTCGAATGGTACAAACTGAGGAAGGAGTATTTGAATCTTGTCGAAAAAAATCTTGCACTACGAAGTGACTAGACAAGTACAAGTCTCCTAGACTAAAGTGTGGCAAACGCTGCGTGATGATGGTTTGTACCATTTTGTACAAGCCTTGAGGGTCAACCTTGACGCGTATTGGGGTGAATAACTCCCTAAATACTTATGTGGTCGTTGGAAAATCCTCACGTAGTTCCTCGATCACATTTTCAATAAACATTTTCTTTGAATATTCGGGCTGGTATGGTAAATGATATGATTACAGGACCTTTTATTTCCCCGAACCGGTTGGACGGTTTACACTACCTAGACTTTCTACAAAACATTTTATCAACAGCGACCACTTGGAACAGTACTTCTGAGTGACAGAGCCGTATTTGAAATTTCTCTGCAAATGAACGGTGAGTACTTCATTTATTTTTTACTTTTTCGCTACTGTTTCACCACAATTTTCAGGACACCTTGTATAAAGCATAATTATTTACAACTCATACTTTCGATCAGTTTCAGACCTATATATTATTTTTCATAGAACTGGCTTTTATTTGGACATAATTCAACCGTCACTATTCTAGTAGCAACAATAATGACACAAATATAGGGATATGTATGAGGTTCATTCACAAGTTGATTCAACACCTTATGACACAGCTGAATATATTTAAATTGCTGTTTCATTTGTTTTTGAAATATATGACATGTATTATGTCATGTTAAAAATCTCTTATGAAATTTTTATTGCTTTATTATTATTTTTTATTATTTTCGAGTTTCACGTGAGATTCTTGAGAGCGTATTTATTGATGGGAGAAGCTTTTTAGGGCAAATAGCCTCATATGCTCTTTAGTGATAGATTTAAGTTATGAGTTTAAATGGTATCTACTGCTCAATATAGACATATCTTGCCTTGATCAATATCGATATATGGGTACTTTAGACTTTGTCAACGATTCCAAAATGGTCTATCGTTTTCCCCACGTAGCTCAATTTCTGACAGTGTCTCTGACATTATTTCTGACATGTAGGTTGACCGACCTCATACTAAATCAGTAGCAGTTCGGTAGTGGTGTATTCTCGTTTATCCATCAAGATGCCTGTATTTATGAGCAGACATCTGAGCTAGACCCAACACCGCATACTGACACTGCAAACAGTGATAATGTGTTTGTTTCCCGCTATGTTGACAGTTCGGCACTCGGCAAATCTGACTGGGAGTGAACTTCTCGAAACCTGCCGCTTGGATAGAGTCCAGCTTTTGGTGTTGGCGACGATGAGCGACCACTTTGTTGGTGTCCGTGCAGACAAAATCGCATTTCAGGCAGTGGAAGTGGGAGGCTTTGTTTTGAGTGGAACCTGCAAGAAAAAGTGATCAAATATTACAATTTATTTTTCAAAAAGGGAGATAGTTGATAGTGAACACACTACCGAAAGAGCTTTATCATCCTCGACGAATTGAAGCAAACATTCTATTTCAGCTACAAAAATGGATTTTGCTTTTGTAGAAAATATGCCCATAATTTTTTAAAGGTCGATAATAAGGTGTTTTCCAATGTTTTTCGATAAAATGTCACAATTTTGCATCGGAAAACTGCCCATCAAAGTTCGAACATAATTGCGCCAACATTGCTGTGACGTCTGTAAATTCTTTTTTCTCTGACATTGACAGCTTGACTGCTTGAGATCAAATATGTGGTCATATTCTATCCGCACCCAACGTAAATTCTATTGTCTGCTCCTCCATCAGGCAACACAGGAGAATCTGAATCCTTTCAAAAGTTTAAGTAAAAATAATGTCAAAAAAAACCTCGAAAAAAACCTTTACCTAGATTTGCAGTATAGGCACAGTCACTTCGTCCACAAGCAACGTTTGCTCTGTATTGTTGGAAATCTCCACCCATCAACGTGTCCAATCTCTCGTGTCTTGCGGTATGTTGCACGAATCTCGTTTTATCACAGAAACTGTAACCGCAGTCCTGTCTCTGGCAATGGAAATGCGTTTGGTGTTCTCTATAGCCGCAATGTTGGTATTGACAGTCTTCATTGAACCTGCACAAGAAGTACATAATCAGATGAGTACTTTGACCTCTGTGAAAAAACTTTTGGTTTTATGTTCACTGCCACTGAAGCGATTTTAATAAACTACAAAGCCTTGTCGTCCTTAAGCAGTCACAATTTCATCAACATCCGTGATTAAATAGGTCATGGATTATCGACAGACAAAAAAAAAATAACTGAAAGGCGGACATGCTGACGGAAATTAGTAAGTGAGCATTAAATAAAAGAAATTTCCCATTTTCGGGGCGTCATTAATAATTTTGGAGCTGCAATGTTGCGATACCCAGTTTGTGTTTCTCTGAATAACGTTCCCTGCCATTGAGGCACTTCATAATGAGTGCGTGCCTGCATGACGCATAGCGCAAACGGCTGAGCGACGGTGGTTTCACATTTGTGATTCGAATAGAAAAATTTAAAGAGCAATAATGAAATATGGGACGAGATTGTCCTATTTGCCACACTGGTTCGCAGATCAAGTTCGATTTGACAGCGATATGTCATGATGGATAAAGACAGGTTGGAAAAAATAACAATTACAAAGAAAATAATGACCTCAGCCCATTTGAATGATTTTCCGCCACGAAAACTTACTTTTGGACGAGTATGTCTAAACTTTTCACTTTACTTGAATGACGTAGGAAATAATAAAACACTATATCTATAGCTCAAACTCACCGAAATCTTAAGTAGCCTTCAGGTACAGGTTCATCCTTCAATATCCTCATCGAATTCTGAATTCTCGCCTTCTTAGCCTCGGATGAAATTTCGTGAGGGCTCATGGCTCTTTTGTTTAAATTTGCCGCCATGGCTGCCAAAGGGTTCGTCAAATTTTCTCCAGGATAAGGTGCTTGTGGTGGGATGAGAGGACTTTGCATCAACTGAGCATGTTGGAACATCAACTGCGGGTTCTGGTACAGGGTTTGCGGGAGAAATGCATTCTGCATTTGTTGCTGTAAGAAAGAAAAAGAATTTGTTAGACAGAAAGCCTTTTATCTATAGAGAATACGATCACAAAGTTCACACGACGCATAGTTCTTTCTTTATAACACACACAAGACCTGAAATAACCAAGTAATTAGGTTCTGAAGAATCTGCCTTATTTTGTATTTGCCTGCCGTGCCTCCTGAACGATTAGGTGAAAATATACCTATACATAGAGGGATACAGTGCTGGTTGAACTTTTGTATGGAAAAAATCAATTTCATTCGATTTAAAGAAAACTTTCAATTTATAATTATCAACCGAATTACTAAACACTCAATTTATAAGTATTTTTGGAAATTCGACTCCAAAGAGGCAAAAAATAGGATTGAGGGTATGTATGAAAATAAAAAGTATCTATCAAGGTATTTGAACTGCAGACGTAGGCATCTAAATTCTCACAATATCTGCCCAAGTATCTAGTAAATATCTCGAAGTTTGAAATAATAAATTTAAAGCAGGCGTGTGCTCAGCCGGTAAACATCTTCTCGACAAAAAATGCATTCATATGAGAATTTTGTAATTCTTAGTAGTCTAGTCTATGGATTACTAATTTATGCGATTCACGTTACATCTTACACCTTATCAACGTTTTATACTCAAATGAAGTTGCTTGAACATGGTCTGGTCAACAGAGTTCTGCGAAATGGAGTAACTGAGAACTAGAAAATCATCTGTTTGAAACACTACACCATTAAGGTTTTGACATTTTTTTACCTGCGACATCAGGGCAAACTGGAACTGGTTGAAGTGGCTATACGCGTCAAAAGTAGGCGTCAGGTACGTCTCGTGCTCTTTCTTCATCACCGATGGACTCTGCAACGACTGCAATGGAGCCACGCTAATCTTGGCTTCAGTTGGAGGCTTCGTCGTGGCTGACATACTAGTTGAAGGTTGCGTTGGTGATTGAGGAGGTGAAGACTGGTTGTTGTTATCCTCCTGGAGTTGGCTGTTCAGAGCACCTGTGCTATGTTTGGCCACGTGGACCACCAATCTGTCCATCTCGCTGAATGCTTGGTTGCACGCGTTGCAATGGTAATGGTATTTGCGTTTCAGTTTGCAGAATGGTCTTGAACAGCTCAGTTCAGGACCGTAGAGGGTGTTGCTTCCGGCGTTTTTCAAAGATGAGGGCTCTATTAACGGAGGCGGTGGTAAGTCTGAAAAGGAAAAGTGGTGATGAAGGGGCGTTTTTTTTTTGGAAACGAGCTCTCTAGTTCATCCTCTATTATAAGTAGTCTCTATTTTTTCAACTACTGATTACACGAAAGGTGACGAATGAGAGAGACAGTCACAGAAGTATCAGAAGTTACTCCCTACAGAGTACAGCATGCAGCAATATTCATTGAATTTTAGCAACACAGCGGTTTGATGTCTATCAAGACAATCATGCACGAAATCTAAATGCAATAGGCACTCAATATCTATGTGCATTTCTACGTCCGATAATGTTTGACAAAATCAGCATGACTTGCTAAGATCAAATGCGCGTAGTAAATGTGAAGAATCAGGTGGTGAGGTGTCATCTGTATTTTTTTATATCGAAGCAGCCGCGCAGGCAGAAGCCTACATCCCGGGACACCGCGGCTCCTATGAGGACCACAAAGAAATTTTGTTAATCCGATTTTTTAACTGCCTAAGGTTAATAGAACTGGGAAAAGCTTCCTCTTATAGATTGTTCCACAACGGAAGGAACGGTCGTATCGGCCAGTTCTGGACGTACGAAGTTCGACCCGGTTAGCATCGGAGCCAAGTATACTTTACAGCTCAAGCTGGGTTTGTCAAACTAAATATATAAGAAAAACATTTGGTGTCAGTTGTATACGAAAATGGTTGACGATTTTTTTCTTACATTCAGAGTGTCATGTAGGAACGCTCCTTTGTGACACCAATATACATTCTTTATATGCTCGAAGAAGTGCGAAAGATCTTCAATTTCATCAGATTCAAATGCAATCAATATCATTGGAGTGTATACAGATACAAAAAATAATCTCAGGTACTACCCAATGTCATAAAAATAACATATGATGCTCCTTGGATGCATTTGATAAAGCTTTGAATTACAAAATGCATGAATCATAGGCATCCATTTTTGAAATTCTGATATTCTAAAAATTAAGAAACCCGGATGGCCTGGTTTTGATGCTACGATGGCTCTTAATCTGTTGTTTAGAGTGATGCAAGATGTAATATCATTGAAGATTATTTACAGAAAGCAAACAATTAAGAATTCTTCAAGAAAACATAACTGAATATCGCCAGTATGAATGATATTGGCATTCAATATTTAAAAGTCTGTATAAGCTTCAGACTATCGTAGAGTGTTAGTACTTAGTAGTAGAGTAAGTTAATGTGGCAGTTACTGGTTATCATGTGTTAACTATTAGACGTAGTACGTAGTGGCAGTATAAAATGTTAGTCACAAAATGAGTTGCATTCGTTAGTACACTTTCGTACCTGAGATGATAGGTTTATATTCTGGTGATTTTTTTATTTGCTCGGTTGGCAATGTAGATAAAGGATAGAAAGTTCCTGACGCCTTCACCACTAAAAGAGATACAGAAAAAAATCATCTATTATTTACAGCAATCCAAAATATATTCACATCTCTACAAAAGTCGTCTGGCAAAATCATTAACTTTCTTCTTGAATAACATTTCCTGTAATATACAAAGCAGTAATATTTGAGCTTTACAACATTTTATCGAAGTATTATAATAATAATTTTCTAATGCCTAGGCATTTATGCATCCGACTTATGTCACGTGACAGTGTCACTAGGCTAATCGTCAAAAGACGTTACTACGATTTTCATTAAATCATTATCATTAGACTCACCATACTCGATCCGATTTTGTGCAAAAAATTGTATCTCAACCCTATTCCTTGATTCAGTGATTAAAATTGAGGCATTTCTTCGACACCACAAAGCCGTGTACAGACCGAGATTCCAACGCAAGCCAAGTCACAAGACGCTACAGATTCGGAGGTGTTCGAATCGGTGAGTACGGCGCGAGCCAACATAAGCCAACGGTTTCAAAGGTCAGCGTTGGCGTTCGATTGCGTTCGCTCCTTGATCGGTACATCAGAGGGAGGTTTGATTTATTCCGGACATTATTTGTTGCGCTTCTAGTATTTAGTCGTTTGTCTGTATTCGATGAGAGGAGACTCGTTGCTCGACATTAGCTCAGAATTTAACCCAACGCGGTCCAACTTGAAACTAAATTTAGGTGTAGACGAGCGCATTCCAATACCTTCCAACAACAAACGTCAACGTCACATGTGCTTGCATTCGTTTGCTCGACGTTGGATTTTCGGCCTGTACGCGGCTTAAAAGAAGAAAAGAAGGTTTGTCACCACCAAATGGAGTATTAGTGACTCTAAAACCACGTACAGAGCGAAAATCCAACGCCGAGCTAACGAATGCAAGCACATGTGACGTTGGCGTTTGTTGTTGGAACGTATTGCAATGCGCTCGTCTACACCTAAATTTAGTCTCGAGTTGGAGCACGTCGGGTTAAGCTCGGTGCTGATGACGAGCGACGAGGACGATTTACTGGTGGCGAGTGCGGAGTTTTTAATAATAGATCCTGTAATATCCAAAAAAAAGGAAGAAACGGCTAAGACGTTGGTGGATTACAACACCATTTAAAAATAGGGCCTTCTATAGTGGCAGTCACTTACTATAGGAACTTCAGACAAACGACTAAATACTAGAAGCGCAACAAATCCTGTTCAGACCAACTCAAAGATCCCTTTGATGTACCGATCAAAGAGCGAACGCAATCAAACGCCAACGCCGACCTTGTGAACCGTTTGCTTATGTTGGCTCGCGCCGACACACCGATTTGAATCTGTAATCACATGTGCATTGGCCTGCGTTGGGATCTGGGTCTGTACGCGGCTTAACGGTAATGGTTTCACAGAAATTGTAGAGAACTCCTTTTGTCACTAAGCCTTCGTAATGGAACCAGAAATTGGCACCTGTACATCAAACATTATCGAGAGTGGCACTGTCGCGTGGCATAAATCTAGTTACTTTACTTAAAAAATATAAAGTGTCATTTTTAAAGAATTTTTTAAATTTATACAGCTATTGAATAAAAATACCTAGATTTAGTACATGTATCAAAATCGGTGAATATTCTGCCAGACGAGATTTTATGATATCCCTCCACCAAATACGTCACACGTCTCTAATCGTTGGTGAAATAATGTCTAGCTATAAAAAGTTGCAGGAACTGCAGAACATCATTTTTTATTGAAGAAATTATATCACCATGACTATAGATAGGCTGTTACTAATCGACTCATCCGTCTTCACATCAAAGCAGATTAGTTTGTCCATGAACAGCACTAAGAACAAAGCTGTTGTGAAGAAAGTAGCCAGTTCTTGGAATCGTACAGCACAAACTCAATACCTGTGAATCATTCACTGTGAATAAAAATTCACATCATGTCATAAAATAATTTGTGAACAGCTGTGCTGTGAACGAGGTGGTTCCATAGAATGGGTCACATGTTTATGGAATAGACAGATGACAGTAGCGCGTTTGGTGCCATGTCTGCTCCTCGGTAAAAATAAAAATCAAACATTCCATGGGAAAATATGAAATAATTATTCTCAACGAATTTACATATACCCTCATCCATGTGTGAACGGAATATTACTCATAAAAAAATACATTTTGAGAAATTCTATTTATGGGATGTTATACATGACATTTGAGGGCACATTTCTAAAATATTCCCCATTATACAGGGTGTCCCAATTTCGACCTACATATCAAAGTTGTGATTTTTCAAATAGAATGCCACAAATTTTATTGCTTATTTGGATAAATCAATTCAAAAGAAGAAAATTGATATAACATACTACGGGGTATTGGTAATTAGTTAAGGAGATATAAGGCGTTTTGTGTAGAAAAACCCCCCACTTCGGCAACCCCTCAGTCCGCCATTTTGAAATTTGGAGTGCTGAATTTTATATCAAAAAAAACTTACACACCTCACCCTTTATCCTATATATTACTTTTTCGAATTTCAATTTTTGCTCATACAGGGTGGTCAAAAACGCAAATTGTAGTTTTTCTCAAAAATTTCAAATGCATATCACCCTATTTGTGCAAGTTTGGATAAAATTTCTTATAAGCTTTTTTTGATACTAGACACATAAGGATTTATGCGGCTATTTTTTCGGTTATTAGAACGACTTTTATGGAACGGCTTAATTCCTTAAAATATCGCATCATCCTTGGAAACAAATAAATTGTTGATTAGTTACAAACTGTCAAAATTAGCTTTGTGAGCATTATAATAAAAACGTTTTCGAAAATGAATTTTTCTAAAGAAGAAATGCTGTATATGGTGTTCGTTTTGGGCGAAGCCCAAAGACATAGTTTCCCAGCATCTCGCATTTATAAGCAACAGTACCCTAATATGCGACATCCAAGGCCGGAAACATTTTCCACACTACGAGAACGTTTTGAATCAAGTGGAGCAGTGGAATATAGTAGAAAATGTATAAATAATGCAAATGTCACCAATGAGGCGAATCAGTTGCAGGAAAATCTCCATTTAAGTGCACGGCAAATTGGAGCAGAAACTGATATAGGCAGAACTTCTGTCCAAAGGATTATTCACAAGCATAGTTACCATCCATATCACCTAAGCTTCAATGCCTTCGTCCTCAGGATTTCGCAGCTCGAATGGAGTTTAGCAGAATAATGCTAAATAAAATGAATGAAGACACTACTTTCCTGGATAGCGATGAGGTAACTTTTAACAGCATAGGTGAACACCCTTACTGGGTTAGGCAAATAGATTTCCAAAATAAATGGAGCTTGAATGTTTGGGGAGGAGCTATTGGCAGACAAGTTATCGGGCCTTTCTTTTTCGACAACAGATTAACAGGTACAGATTACTTGAATTTTTTGATCGAGCATTTGCCTTTGCTGTTGGAGGACGTTAACCTGCAAACTCGGATGCAAATGTACTTCCGACATGACGGCGCACCTGCGCATTATCATAATCGTGTGCGTAACTATTTGGACACCTGGAGTAACAATCGTTGGACCGGTCGTGGTAGGTCTATATCTTGGTCTCCTAGATCACCAGATATAAGACCGATGGACTTCTTTCTATGGGGCTAAGTTAAGCATGAGGTTTATAGATATCCAGCATCTACCCCAGAAAATATAAAGGAAAGGATTAAGGATGCTTTTCTGAACATAAGCGAACACATGCTGAGGGATGTGCAACGGTCATTTATCCAAAGACTATGGCTGTGTATTCAACATGGTGGAGATATTTTCGAGCAGTTTTTATAGATTAGGTCTTGAATAGTGATAGTTGTTTGTTTATGTTGTTGTTATAGTTGTTTTTCTCTATTTCGCTTGAAGGTGATTTGTACTGTTCTGATTGTCATTAGTTTTTACGTCAAATCTGTACTCTTGTGACAATATGGAACTAGTCCACTGTTTGTCTTTTGTTTCCATGTTCCATGGATGATGTAATTTTCCTTCCTTAATTTTGGTGTGTTGTTCTATTAAAAGCTTAATAACTCAAAATCTAGGTAGTGATTTTATCTGAATCAAACCTTATACAAAAAAGCATATAAAAAATTGAATCCAAACCTGCACAAATATACAGGGTGATGCATTTTTGAGAAAAATTACAATTCGCGTTTTTGACCACCCTGTATGAGCAAAAATGAAAATTCGGAAAAGTAACAAATAGGATAAAAGCTGAGCTATGTAAGTTTTTTTTGATACAAAATTCAGCACTCCAAATTTCAAAATGGCGGATTGAGGGGTTGCTGAAGTGGACGGTTTTTCTGGACAAAACACCTTACATCTCAGTAACTAGTTACCAAAACCCCATAGTATGCTATATCAATCTTTCTCTTTTGAATTGGTTTATCCAAATATCCAATAAAATTTGAGGCATTCCATTTAAAAAATCACAACTTTCATATGTAGGTCAAAATTGGGACACCCTGTATAATTGCCAATATTTTAGAACTGTGCCCTCAAATGTCATGTATAACATTGCATTAATAGATTTTCCCAAAATGCGTTTGTTTATGAGTAATATTCCGTCCACACATGGATGGGCCACCCTGTATATGCGATATTCTACATCAATCTTCCTTGATATTTGATTTTGAACTTAAAAAATGCGAAAATATTGGATACCCTAAACCAATGTTCTTTCAAGCAATTTCATCAGCGGTCAGTTTCCATAACTTAAAACCTTGTCAATATTTAGCAAATATATCTTTGATAAAGTATCTCGTTCACAGTATAGTATACGACCCCAGTATTACATTCAATATTTTACACAACTTACCTGAAACTTTGTTATCCCCACTCTGACTCAAATTAATCGCCTTGAACTGATCCTCACCGCCATCTTGACTCGCGCCTGTTTCCGTCAGTTGCGTCTCACTCTTCACCCTGATCTCAGGCGTCGCGCCTTCCTCGGCATGCTTCTGATTATGCTGAGCCATCGTAGAATATTGCACGAAGGAATAGTTGCAATTGAGCCGGGTGCAGTGGAAATGCCTGTTGACCCTGTTGCTGGGACACCCCGGCAGCCTGCAGTCTACGTTCCTGTCGTAGAATTCGAAGCCATCGAGGATTTCGATGTTGTCGTGGAAATCTTTGGCATGGACGATGAGGCTGTCTTCCTTATCGGTGACGTAGAGACAGCGGTTTTGGGTGCAGTGGAAATGGGTAGAGCCCAAGTATGGACACAGAGTGTCGGGGCATTTGGTATTCTCAGAGAAGACGTCGAAGCCCTGGAGGTTGCTGTCTTGAGCCTGAAAGTAAAAATGCCCATTGAAAATCTTAAATCAGCAATCCTGTGTTGATGCTACAAATGAAGCAGAATGAAGGTTTAGGGTTGTTTAGCTACTTAAGTCAAAGTTGGAACTTTCCTTTATATGACAATATAGCTCTTGCAAAAATAAGTGAATTTCCTTTACAACACATTCAACAAAGACTCAAGATAACTGGGATAGATAACTAAAAAGAGCTATTTAAGTTTATTAATACCTGACTTTGTCTTTGTATACAGGGTGTTGCACAACTTATCCGACAAATTTTAACCACATATGAACTGTTACGAAAGAAGTTGATTTCTCAAAAAAAATGTCGTAAAAGTCCTACAGAAATTAAGTTATAAACCTGAGTTTCAATGATAAATTGAAAAATAAATATCTGTATTTTGCGTTTATCGTCATGATATTAGAACACGCATTAATAATTTATTGTAGCAAATGTACCAATCAACTGACGAAAACAAAATATCAGCATTTTTTTGTTTTTTCATCCTGATACGAACGTGTAAATAAGTTTTAATCTGTATCGTGGGTGATCTGATTGAAGAACGGTCGATTTTTGTTAAATAAAGTATTTTGCACTTTGTGTGGTAATACTATGGTATAGAATACTGCTTTATAAGCTATTTTTTCTTGTTTACACAAAAGTTTGCTCAAAATTATATGAATATAACATACAATGTAAATTACTGTGACACTGTTCATCGCAATAATGCAATTTTGCATTATTTTAATGATGAAAATAGTTCATTGTTAACTAGTAATTTCTTTTATTTTAGATAAATATTCCCATCACTACACCACCATCACTATCCTACTCTCTCCATCTAGTTGCGATGTTGCCAAATCATGGATAGTTATATACCCTAATTTGGTTTGTCAAATTCTTACTTATATACCAGCGCTAAAATGTGCAATTGGCACAGGATTGTCATTAAAATGCGATTTGGAGGTGTGGTCGGCAGGCCTTACTGAAGTAAATCCAGTTCGTGCCCTACCATAGCGTTAGCTAGATACTTTTTTGAAGAATGCCTTATGCCCTTCACAAAAGTACTTCGGTTATTTTTTCCCTATATTATAGTTATAATCTATTTACTTTTTGTATGTATGTTCTTGAAGAATTATTTAAAGTGAAGCTGATGTCACAAAATATACCTAATTGAAAAAGTAGCTGTTGCCAGTCAATAAATAATGAAAACATAACAAAGAACATTGCAAGTTTTTTGATGATTTGATGAAATGATCGTTGATTTTTATTTAACTATAATGTTGGACGATGATATGTTGGGTGGACCTAGCGAGGTGGTCCAAATCGACGAATCGAAGTTGGTTTTTTTTTATATACGATGTCCGCTGGTGCCTTTTGTATTTTCTATGTCACGCAAGCCGCTGGTGCATTTTCCAATGTTTAGACACATACTGTTCAAACTTCCATCTAGTTTTCGGTAAATATTGGGTCAACTTCTCATAAAACAAGCCATTTACAATAAATTGAGACTTTTATTTTGCAAATAACCTCATTTTTTATCACGTACTTCTCCCCAAAAAAGGTACAACTTGGCAACAATGGACATCATTTATCTTATCTGTCAAGGAATGAACTTCATAAAATGGCGATTCAGAATTTTTTGTACTTTTAAACATTTCTTATAAACGCAAAAACTTTGATGTCATTGAAAATACGCGGAAAAAAATGGTTAAGGAATTTCAAGAGGACTTTGAAACATCACAACACAACACCTCTACACAGTTTACCAAGTAAAAACCATCATTTACGTATGTATTTTTAACTATTATTTTAGCTAATAAGCTAATGTGTAATAAAACGGCTGATTTTGAACCTTATCTGCAAAAAACAACGATTTTTCACAGTTTCACATCTATTTTCCTTAGTACTATACAGTGTATGTTATATTCTTATAATTTGGAGCATCATTTTGTGCAAAAAGCAAAAAAAAAGCGTATAAAACAGTACTCCATTCTAGAGTATTACCACCAAAAATGCAACTTTGAAGTTCTATAAAATAGCAAACAGAAGGTTCCTTAAGAAACAATGATATTTTCGTCCAAGTTACATCCTAATTTTTTATTTTAAAGTAAGAAGTGAAGTATTTGCGATTAGCGCTAAAGTATAGTTTTATCAAATCGTTTTCTTCTTCAAAATTCTGCTGAGCCTCAAATAGTGTATTTAGATTATTTTTCGGGACGTTTATATCTTGCGTCGCGTATGTTTGCTTATCTCGCATAAAGAGCTAGGGCCTCAACAGAGACGGTGAGGCGAGCAAAGTGGAATGCCTAGGCGACCCGAATATTGCAAGCCTCGAGTGCAAACATCACACAAGATCGATAAGCATCATGGCCACGGTGGTACTTGAAATTTCGTGTCAAGCAAACTGTATTTTATTGTTTCATTGATTGCTGTTGTTTTACCGGCCATTTGCTTTGTCATATTAAGCGTAGTTGTACTTGAAAAGAAAAGTTACAATTTTAAAAACACCCTGTACAGCATAATTATCATACTTACATTTGGACTATGCGTGCTCGACCTATCATCATTAGAATCCTGCTGTTCAACTTCCTTGCCACCTAGCGGAGTCGACGTCATTTTCGGCAATTTAAAGCTTGTAAATATTGCTTGTGGACTGTCCATCAAGCTTTGAGAACCCATTGGATTCTGAAACAAATATATGATGAGGTACTGGTTTAACTGAAAGGAACTGATAATACTATATTCCTACTTCGGCAATGCCAATGAAAATGGAGAAATGATCCTGGTAGTATTAGAAATTAAATTTGACAATCACGAAAAATTGTTAAACTTACGTAATCGTTCCAAACTTCTATGACCCTATTCTTCGGAGGCCGCCCTCTTTTCCTACAAAACATCCCATCAATAGAACTTGACAGGTGGGTCATCGTCAGTGGATCCTTTGTTAGACTCAACTTCTTACTATACTCATGCATTTTGTAATGCTCCAATCTTCTGAAAGGCTTATCACTAGGCAGAATCACCTCTCTACAGTTGTCCCAGTTGCAATGGTAGTGCTTTTCTTTATCCTGGTAAATGCAGGACTCGTCACAACTCCCTGTTTGGGATGCGATCGTGGTAAAGTAGTTCTCTGTAATCATTTCTTGTTGTTCATGGTTCCGCGCATGCTCCCTAGCGCCGTCTTTGTTATTGAACGCCACGGAACAACAGTCCGCGAAACAGTGGTAATGGTCGCTGTAGAGGTACTCGCATTTCTCAGCACGGCACTGGTTTTCCGGAACGTACTGACAGTACTTCCGCCAAAAGTCTTCACTGTTGTAGTTGAAGTCTTCCTACAGATATAAAAGCTCATCAGTTAGCAGCTTTAGCAGAAAAAATTGATTGTATAGAGGGACGGAATTTTAATCTGTATAAACAATTCCACTGGTAAGTAGCTCAGTACTCTGCAAAACGTGACAATAACAAATATTAGTTGATCATCGAGTAACATTCAATTTACTCGCTATTGTCAAATAAAACAGGCGTACCTTGTACTCCTTCGTACTGCGTAGCGACATCTACACTTTCATGAAATTTTGCATAAATTGAGGATAATTTGGTATAAAAGAATTAAATGAATTTTAATTACCACCTAGTAAACATAGTTCGAGTGTCAACAGATTCACTACTGCCGATAGTACAAAACTAATAAAAGAGAGCTATCAAACAAAACTAGCAATGAGTTGAAGTATAGTATAGTGGAAAATAGTTTAGAAAAAGTGTTCATCATAAATAAGAATTAAAATCTAAAACATCAGATCGTAATAAGGTGTATACAGGGTGAGTGAAGAAAAATATAGTGGAAATGTTTATATAGTTGTAGTCACCGTTCTTGGCGGTTCAAAGTAAGACTACCAGTATCCCTTGATATATTTACATCTCCCTCATACATACACATACAACCTACCCGTGTGTGTGAACGTTCGTTCGGTAATCTAAAAGACATACGTTTTTTAGATGTGTGTCTCCGGCTCGAAAACTTTGTCGTTACGTATGAGTGCCCTTCAATTATATTTGTCAGAGTGATAACTTTCTTGACCTCGGCGTGCAATTCAAGTTGTCCTGTTATCAATCTTCAATATAAAATTGTACAATGCCCGGAAATACGATCAATGGGAAAGGCCGACAGCTCGAGCTCAATTTATTATGGTATTTCCAGGAAGAGAATGAAAACAGCGGTCCCCTGTTACCCTCTTCATGCGTACTAGAGAGAGTAGCAGATGCGCTGAAGCTTAAGATCCGTCTATGGTACGGAGACTCGATCTGTTTACTTATTTCATATGGCGTTGATGACGTAACCGCCAAGAACGGTGACTACAACTATAGCAAGATGAGCATGTTAAACAATGACGGAAGTGGAAAGGACCCCGTGCAAAACATGAAAAATGGGTTCCAGTGGATTTATCTGAAAATCCAGTATTTGGTCCCACCAGAATAATTAGTCCCTGAGAAAAGGTGACAAAAATTGTAGATGTGCAAAAATGGTGAATGTGTCGTGGAAATCGATATTTAAATCCTCAAGAAGACCATGGCAGCATGGACCGAATCTAAGACATCATTATAAAATAGCTGGTGCTCCTATTAATAGATATCGTCCCCCAATAATTATTTGTGGGAGGTGCTAATGCTGCATTAGTGATTCAGCTGTTACTCACGTTTTAGAAACCAAATAAAGTAACAACTAAGGATGTCTTATCGACAAATTTATGAAAATCAGGACTATTTACTTGCCGATTGTGCAAAAATTAATGGGCATTACTGTAAAAGTAGATCCGGCAACCAAACTCTAGGCACATGTGGCGTTTTGATATACGAGTATTCTCCACGAGATTGGAGTTAGTTATCACTCGAAAACATTGACCCAAACCGGTCGATATGCCGGAAGAAGACCAAAACAAAAAACTCAAATTAATAGTCAATAAATTACAATACTCTAAAGCTATGCTCACATTAGTACGCTATTCCTCATTCATTCGCCTTCAAAATCAGCATGACCTTGGATTGACCTTGTAAACGTTATAATCACTTTTGTGAAACGAATTGTCATTTGAGAATTTTTTTTTTAATTTGAAAACTCGTGCCAGATCCGGTACAGTACCAACGTATAAAAATAAGATTTCCCTTAAATTGACCCTGTACGGATCATGACCAAGATCTACATGACATCTCCCAATTCTCTTCCTCAAGGGTTTTTTCTTTAATACAATTATCTGAGTATTTGGTCTGAGAACTACAATCGGTACATTCACCTTTTTGCTAACTTATGCAAAATTCCTCCCATATCTTGTCAGAATTTAATCATAGGTTTGCTTTGGTCCGGGAAGAATTTTTGTTCAGGAAAGCGAGAAATATATCATACTGAATTTTTAGACAAATTGACTGACATCCATTTTCCATATGTTTTGTGCGAGGTTATTTCCTACATAATCCAAACCCCAGAGGTTTTAAAGTCAGGAAAAAATTAATAGGATGAACATTTGGATTACTGGCAGTTAATAATACCAAGAATAAAAATCAATTATTACTCCACCTGAAGCAATTGACATTCTAAAATATTGCCCGTTTAAATGTAAAAATATTTTAAATTTCTATGTTAATCTAAAAATATATACCTTTTTTTACTACTTTGATCACTTACTAGTAATTTGAATTTCTCTTTATTGATTAGAGTACCGATTCCTAGGTCAAACCCTTTTTAATGATTTTCTTCTGGTAAATTTCATAGTTTATTAATTGTATAATTTCTCACGTTTTATATCTTTCTTTCTCAGCGACTCAGTATTGTGTTGAAATCTTTTGGACATTAATATTATAGTATAACTAACGGCTATCTCATAATTTCATCATAAAATATCGTTGGTCCCTCGTAGAGTTGGTTTCGCAAATTGGCAACCTGCGCCACCTTGTGATTTTTTTGCGTACCAGCCGTATAGGGATATTTGGTCCTATCAAGATACCTTCTTTTAAAATTTGATTTCCTACCAAGATACCTTCTTTACCTATCGATATACCTTGTTTTAAGAACTTGCGTGTATAGACGCGTCCAGCAAAATGTTTTCTTTTCGTTCTGGTGAGGTTTGGTTGCGCGTGGGTCGCTTCGTTAGTTTCCAGATTCTGGGATATGGGACTCGCAAACACCAGTTTATGGAGCAGTACCCTCTATTTTGTTGTTTCGGTTTGGGTGCTAACCCGTCCATTTTCTAATGGGATTTTATCCTTCAGCGGTAAGTTCTCTTTTGTATACCATCGGACCACGAGCATGTGCTGAAGAAGTTTGTTTAATGTTTGCTTCCTTTTAGTGGGAAAACATTACACTCCTCCAGCTTTGTTTTGTAGGCACAGAAGGCACACAAAAGTTAGTGGTAGAAAAATTTTCTTTGTATTTAACGTTACTACAAATTTACAAAGCCTCAGTAAGGGAACATTCGTTCTTCCTTTTTAGCGTTGTCTATAATTATGTTTTCATCCTCAATATAAACGTATATCTTACCTGAGCTAAACTTGAATCATTTGCAGTCAAATCCATTGCCAAAGCCGACTCGGACTCTCCATAACTTATGGGCGAATTCCTTTCACTTAAGCTTTCAGTATTCGACATGTTAGACATGTTAGACACGCTTCCTGAAGCTTGATTGTACATCGACAAATTAATACTGTCTATTTGAGCCTCATAGTCTCTTCCATATCCTACAGGAGGTGGCACTACCGATCCATCCGACAGAGTCCTGATCATACTTTGAGCCAATTTGTACTTTCTGTAAGCCAACTCTGAGTCCTTCCTTTCGTGTTTGCGCTTATGCGAGAACATTTGCCCCGAGCTATGCAAGACGTAGCTGCATTGCGGCCGGATACAGTGGATGTGATTACAAACTTTGGAGAATCTGCAGTTCTCGAAAGGACACACTTCGTTCTTCATGAATTTCTTGAAGCCGTCCCGGGATAAGGTTTCGTCCTTGATGTGGTAGGATTTGTGCTTTTCTGGAAATAATTGCGAAAATGGTTATGAAGATCAGCCCTAGTTCAAGGGAAGCATTATTCGTCTAAACGAGCCTTGGACGTAACCAGATCTCGGGGTATACGTTACATATAAGGTACGTTTAAAATAAGTGTTTATGAAACCACTATAAGTGTAGTGTACAAAAAGAAGGGCTGTATTGTTTAAGTGATGTATAAGATTTGGGAATATCCAAAAGTATTTGTTAGACCATAAAGATTTTTAAAAGGAAAAAAAATAGAGCCTACAACATAATCGAAATATAAAGATTCTGAAGGGAACTTTTAAAATTGTTCCAACTACCTTTAATTAGTGAAACTTATCCTGTAGTTTTTATGCTGATAATTGTCCCTGTTTGCCTGAATGCTAAATGAAACCACATATGATTGAAATTTGAAATACCGTTTCCTGACGAAAAACATTCAGGCCGAAACTTTGTCATCAGTAAACAGTACTTCAAGCATATTTTATTGAGCGACCAAACAAACATGGATGATTTTCTGAACTACTCGTACCGTTGTGAAACTCTCATTAAAAAAAGATTATACGAACCCTTAGAGAGTGATAGAAAATATCAGTTCAATTAATGTCTTGAAACAGCAATATTTGCAATATATCAAAAAGTCATTAACGAGAAAAATATTTTTTATATGTATTAGTCGCACCTTGATTACCGTTTTCACTTCCTATATCCAAAGACTAAAACAGCCAAAAATATTACCACACTTTTGCTTAATTTTTTATTTATTTTTGCATATTTACCATGAATCCCCCAAGCAAGTTTCATAAAGCAATTACAGTCAGAAAATCAGTCGAGTGTGAGTATTTAAAATGCGAAAGAAGACCCTATCAATTTGTTCTGTGATATATACGCTTCAAGGCATAGGATAAAACGTGCGAAGAAACATTTTGGGATGAATTGATTTTAACCCATTTTAGCATCTCACCATCGATATTTTTGTTATACAGGGTCTTGAAGTACGTTTTATAGAAATCTGGAAATTGACCGCCTCTAACACCGTAATTACAGTCTGCGAAAATCAAAGGTTTCCCAATTTTTGTCTCGCAAACATGGCTAAGAATCGGTTTAAAATAAACTCAAATTATTCTTCCTGGTCTTGTTGAGCAATGTTTTAAATTTAATTTAGGTACTTGGTGACCCCAAAAATTATGATCCTTAATCGAGCTTCTAAGCTTACACAGGCAGTGGCGCTCCCAGGATTTCAGTCTGGGAGGGGTAAAATGGAAAGTAAATTCTCAGTGTGACGTACTGAAGTGTTATAATGAGCTATCATTAAAAGCATGGACATATGCAGACATATGAATTTGTTACAGTAATTTCTGTAGAGAATACATACAGTTTTTTTTAATTTTGAATCATAGGAAATCAAAGTGTAAATAAAGCAAACCAAGCTCGAGCAATCTTCGTATATTAAAACAAAAATGCCAAATAATATAATCTATCACAGACTTTTCTACATAACAATGTCAGACAAAACAACAAAAAATATAAAGTATAAAAGTGAACGTAAATCAAAATAAAATTCTGAATCATGAGAAAAACGTGATAGCTGGAGTATGAACCAAACACTTGGTAATTGAAATTATATTAAATTTGCATCTTTCCGTCTGTCATTTTTTTAGACGTATAATATATATATATATATATACAGGGTGACTTTGAAGTTGAGTCATTAATTTTCAGATAATGATTGTAGAAGGAAGATAAACCAAAATATGTGTAAAAATAAAAAAAAATTAAAAAAATTTGTTTACCTTGTTTTATAAAGTATCCTCCCGACAAGTATTTCAGTGCGGACCTGTATTTGATCGTGAGGTCTTGGAGCACCGGCATGCAGTCCCCTGTGAGGTCTTAAGTCACCTGATTCACGAGCCCGTTGTACTACATTAACAAAGGCACGAGGGGTTGGTTGCACTCGATTGGGAAACCGATCCGCATAAATATGTGCCATTTTTTATTTCATTTGAGCCACGCAGCAAACACCACTATTGACTGACACAGACTGAATAAAAACATCGTGATCAGCGTTTCAAATTCCTTCGCTTTTTTGTTTCCGATGCGATGAACCGATAAGGCGGAATATATCCGTTGTCGCCAAACACGAGCACATAATATTATTATTGAGACAGGGCGGTACTCAAACTTCTAAAGGGCTATAACTTTGTTAGTTTAATTTTACCACAAAAATGTTTAAGGAAAAAAACATTTCTTTTGATCAGATCTACTCAGTGTTAAAATAAATGACTCAACTTCGAGGTCACCCTGTATATATATATATAGTATAAAAGTTAAAAACAAACAAAAATTAATTTTCTGGCTTATGCGTGGAAAATAAAAAATCTTATTTTATCGTATTTCCTCAACAAAAAGGTTCACTTGTTAGAAGCGTCTGAAGCTAATAGTTTTCGAGATATTTGTTTTTAAAAGTTCCAATGCATTATTTGTACCATGATGATAAAACATTTTTATAACATAATAATCAAGTTGCTTTGGACAACATCTGAGTAGCGACATCCTGTATACACATTTTTAGGGGATTTCAAACATCAAATCGCGTTTAACTCGAAAATGGTCGACTTTAGAGAAAAGTTATTAGAGGCCTCTTTTGTTCAGAATGATCCAAAAAACAGTGCGGGTTAAAACATTTTTTTTGAAGTTTTATTTCGATCCCGATAATCATTTAACCTAGCAAGTTTGCATTGGAGTATTAAAATACGTAAGATTCAGTTAGTTTTTACCATACCATCTCAGTACAGGATGTAACCAAATATTTATGGTCGACTCTTGGACTACTCACCACTTTGGGAGTAGTGCGACGTTGTTAGATTGTAACAGGCAAATCTATAAATGCATGTGTAGGCTGATAATGTAATTTGTAACTTTAGAAGAGAACTTACGGAAAATATTAGGAACGTGTTTATCAACTATATTTACTCATTTCAAATTGATCAATTAATCACTTTCAGGACATCCAGTGATCATTTTTGAGCACATGCTGGAATATAAGAAGAGGCGACAATCTTTCATCCGCGAAAGAAGTTTTTCTATTCGATCCTGTTTCATAGTTTGATTTGTTGAATTTATTTATTTATAATTTTTCAGGTCATAAAGTATTTAAATTAAAGTTGAATCCTTGCTCTACAAGACCTCGAAGAATAGTATAAGATCAGTTATAAGCTGTTTGTTATGTCAAAATTGGCGAACTTTTGGTTTCCGCAGACTGAACATTTTCCATTTGATTGCTTATTCATTTCGACTGATATCTGCATTGTGTTAAATTGTGTAAAAGAAATGAATTTTAAATTTAAAATTGCTCACCCATATCACTTTTGTTCTTAAACGTAAACCTACAGCCCGTCCTCCGACAATGAAAATGCGTTGTTCGTTGCCCAAAGAATGCGCAGTAGCTAGCTCCACATTCTTCTGTCGCTCTGTACCTTTGAAAGCCTTCTTGGATTATTGCCGAGTCTTTTCTATGATAATTTGCGTGCATTTGTACGTCTGAAGTTGATATGTATACCTACAAACAAATGAAAACCAGTTAGAAATTAAACTCCCACTTTGGTTGATGTTATGTCACCAACAAGACATCGATGAAATATGAAGAAGGCTTTTAGGACCGGGAACCTTCAACAGTGATAAAGAGAGAATAAGTAGTTATTCTAGTAACAAACACATACCTTATCACAACCTTCTTTGATGCAATGATAATGGGTTTGTTTCTTATTATGAGTGCAGTTGTTGAACTTATCACTACAATCATCTAGAGGACTATATCTCATGAAACCATGTTGCAGAGATTCGTCCCTCTTTTTGTGCCATTTAAAATGACGGATCATTTCTTCTTTTTTTAAAAACACTCTAGAATTGCAGTCTAAACAGTGGAAGTGTTCTCTGAAACAAGAAGTTTTCATGAATAATTTGTATGGGACTTTGCATTCAGTTATTTTGCAAGAGATCACAATAAAGACTAATTATTCAGTAGGTTTGTTGTAAGTAATGAATCGATGCTTAAAAATCTCAAAGCACAAATGATCTATAGGAGTGGCCCCAAAAGAGGTTCTTGCACAATTAATTTGATATATTTCTAGTAAAACTTTACTTGGTGATACTCACCTGTAGTTCAGATCTTTACAGTAGGAGCTCTCACATTCTAATGAGGAGGAAAATTTCTTAACATACTTAGAGTAATCTAACTGAGAAGTTTTGCTTATCAACAGGTTCGTGGTAGACAGCGATTCTCTAGGAGTAGGCGCCATCGTTTGAGCTAGCATTGCTGAAAAAAAAACATGAATTTTATGGATTAAAAAGTCGTCATGAATTGACTTTGAGATGAACAACATCCACACACTGTTGCAAATGGAAGTCACATGGTTACAATCGGTACATTTTGAAAACCAGCTATAGCCATATCAGTATTGCACATACTTATAGTGTAATAATATCCAAGTGCTGATAACATTTAACTCTCGTAATTTTTTGTAAACACGAGATGGAGTGCCCGCTTGTTAGGAATGTTTATTTTCAATCCAATCCTAGAATTGAACTTACTATGCTTCAAACTATATCTTGTATTTTAGCAACTACCTAACTACAGGAAATAGTGGTTCCCATATTTAGACGTGTGACTATGTACAACGTTTCATTAAACGAAACAAGTAAGGACCAATAATTAAATGCCAAGAATGTCAAATATACTGTCATATTCGCTGGTTCTTTCCTTTCTCTTCATGTAGATGTTATTTGATGTTCTTCAGAGCACAAACCTGTGATGAAATAGCCACGTGCAAATAATAATTTATTTTAATAGTGTTGCATGCAATATAATGCTCGTACCTGCAGTAGTATATCTTCTCTAATTTCCGCAAGTACAGTTAACGCATAAATGCTAAAATACCTTTGTACAAACAGTTCCATTTATTTCAAAACGTTTCATAATGGCTCTCGTTAAAATATTAAAATAAATAATATCGACGGAGGAAGTGTTTAACAAACGTTAACAACGTGTAAACTATCATTAAGCTTCAGCAATTCCTGACTGTTCTAAATTGATTTTGATGTATAAACATAGCCTGCAGTTGTCTAAAAAAGGAAATACTAAATCTAGCAGCCATGATTTAAGTGTGTCTGTTTGCTGCAGTCGCATACATAGTGCGTCTATTTGAAAGACAGACCACAAAACAGATCTTCAACCAGAATTAAATATCGGCGTATAAAGCCTGTTTTGTAGATTTTCGTAGCTGGTGTTACAAACACAAGAAGAGATCTGCCTCAAAAAGAGCTCGAAATACCTATAAATATCCTGAAATACAGAATTGTTCGGACTTTATAAAAAAATCGGTATAACGTAAATGGCGTCAAGTAGGTTGACTCTGCATTTCCTACGCTACGCTGTTAACAATTCATAAAAGGATGATATTCGGCTCAAGTTAGTTCCTCTTAGGAACATGTATAACAAAGGAATTAAACGGATCATTTCAGTGAAACAGGCTCATGTAATTAGTCCATAGTCTCCAAAGATTTGACAACATTGCCATCTAGCTTATCGCCCTACCAACAGTACCGACTACCCAGCAACGAGGCACCGCAGCACGGCGATGCACACAAGAATATATATACAGGGTAATTGGAAATTCGACCTATTCCCTGAAAGTGGTGATTCTAGAGGTTATTTGTGAAAAATTAATCCCCATCAATACACATTTTTTTTAAAATCTACTCATTTCTTGGAACTAATTTGATGGTTTTCTGAGAACTGTGAAACTAGCAAATAATTGAGATAAAAATGCTATACCAAAAGTTTGAAACTGTTAGAAATGAAATGCTGTTAATGAAGAGATTTTCATTTTTGTTTATTATTTCCGAAATCAACATGATATTTGAAATAAAATGCATGACAGTCGGAGTACAAATTACAAAAATAATTACAGAATTTCATGAGCTTTCAAAGACTACAAATTTAACTTCTTCTTTTCAGGCATATCCTAAAAAAATAAAAAACGTACAAAGGGTACTGTAGGTACAATTAAATTTTTAAATTAAATGAGCTCGGTAAAGTTTGAAATCTAATTAATTGAAGAAAAACAGGTACTGTGTAAAGAATTAATGAAACATACACAACGTTGGTACTTAAAAACTATAAATCTTGTTCAAATTGCCTGCCATTGTTAAGTATGTAAGCACGTAGTCTACGACGTAGTTGGGTCAGTTGTTTAAAGAGTGCGTTTCATCTCGTCGGTGGCTGCCAAAATCCTCTGCCTCAAATATTCGATATCTGCAACAGATGCATTGTACACTAATTGTTTCATGTGACCCCAAATGCAAAAATCGCAAGGCGTCAAGTCCGGACTTCTCGCCGGCCACGGCGTTGGGCCTCCTCGACCGATCCATCTCTGCGGATACTTTTCATCCAGCCATTGTCGTACACCTCGAAAATAATGGGCTGGGCAGCCATCATGCTGGAATATCATATTGATTCTCCTAGCTAGCCGAACATCTTCTAGTAATGCATCTACTTAATTTCTTAAAAAGTTTTCACAAGTGGTGCCATTCCATCACGATCGAATTTCGATTCATCAGTCCAAAGGGTAGTTTTGAGGTACTCTGGGTTTTCAATATCGGCATGAATTAAGAATCTACAAAAGTCAATCCTTCGTACAGGGTTGCCCTCCTCCATAGCGTGCACTGGAGTGTAATGGTATTGATAAAGTTGGGCTGTATGAGCAATAAACCAGGATTTCCATTGGGATATGCCAAGTTGCCGTGCCACTTGTCTAGTTGTTAGAAAATCTCTTCTTCGTCAGCATTATGGACAACAGGTCTGCCAGCGTATATTTGTCGTCGATGCACCCAGCCAGATTCTCGTTTGCGTCCGTAAGTAATACCAAACATGCTTATATCAGGTAAATGTCGGTAGGGAATCGCCTTCGGTAATCCCTTCGTGCTGCAGCAGAGTCACCATTACAAAACCCGTAACAATACATAATGTCGGCGTATTCTTCATTTTCGTAAGCAGCCATTACACATACAGACAATTTGCAGGAATGTTTAGTAAGATCACAACACGATACAACACGTCTGAATTCCAAAGATAGTTGGTAAACAAACTGTCGGTCATGACGCATCACGAACCTCATTGGACACTCCGATGGGCACACCCGAATACTTACGGAGTTAAACGAGTCAGTCTGACATGTAGAAATACGATGCATTTTATTCCGAGAAAGCTGTTTTGTGAAAATTGGATTTACGAAATCTACTACCTCTAATCGATGGCTGCTGTTTTTTTTCAAATGCTTGAAATTGTTAATAAGATTTGTATGGTTTTGGAAAGCTCATGAAGTTCTGCAATTATTTTAGTAATATGTATGCCGAATGTCATACATTTTATTTCAAATAACTTATGATTTTCGGAAATAATAAACAAAAATCAAAATCTCTTCACTTTGGTATAGCGTTCTTATCTCAATTATTTGCTAGTTTCACAGCTTTCAGAAAACCATCAATTCAGTTCCAGTAAGCAGAAAATTCTCAAAAAATCTTGAAATGTAGATATCTCGGAATCCGCTCATTTCCGACCCCCAGTTGATGGGAATTAATTTATCACAAATGACATCTAGAATCACCACTTGCAGGCAATAGGTCGAATTTCCAATCACTATGTATATATAGGTATATATGCGTCATCGATCAGTGGATCAATTTATAAGTTATTACTCCGCATTCGAAGCAGATAGACGTACGCTCGCTGAGTTTTCCGGTACGCGTATGTTGAAGATGTTTCCAGACCGACACACGACAATGAGTGACATTGTTCTTTGCGATATACATATCATATAAGTTCCACGAAATTTTTCGCGATTGCAATAATTCCACGCCAGCTGCTGTGGAAGTAAAAATGAGGTAGACGCAGGTTTCCGAAAAATCCCTTCGTTTTGAAGACCAAAGTGCATAAAATATTCGAAAGCAGTAGCACTACATGCAAATATAGAATGCAGGAATCAAGTCTTGTCGTGATGGATATAGGCTGTCCTAATAGATGACTCTCTGTATCACTGAAACATTGGCATCTTGAATTCTAGCTGGAGGTTACATTGAACAGTTTCAAGCTTTAAATGTGGCTTACGAATATTAAAAATGCCGTTAACGAAACTTTTTTCGCACTGTATATTCAAAACAATGCCATCAACCGTAAGTCGCCAAAAGACAAAGTAGCCGAATTGCCGACTCAATTCCGTCCACTTGTTTAGGTATTATTCGTACAATATGTAAAATCTGTGCATTCGCTTCACATAATTAGTTTTGAGACGCTGTGTATGCCCAGCCGGCGTACATTAACAATATGTAGAGACCAAGCAGTTCTGTCTCCCTTTTTTCCAACGAGCTGCATATGATGGAAGATAATCACTACAAATTGAATCCAATAAAATCATAGTCGGCCATACTCTCACGACAATTGAACGTCAATTTAACCAATTTAGCCGTCTTTTTATTATTCATAAAATTTCATAAACCCGCTCGCTTACTCTATTTGTTCTTCACAATTGGAGTGGTCGTTTTTAAGAACGTTTAAATAATATTACGAGCTGTTGCCTCAAGTTTTACCAGACTGTTCAAACGTAATTGGGATGTTTTTCATCTGCTTTGTGGATGTATTACAATGTAAACAGATTGGTGGTTCTCGGAAACTACAACGAAACGTGTTAAAATCCTTCCGAATCCAAAGGAAACCATTTTCTGAGCTTGAATACTGGGATATCATGACACCTAATCGGACCTGCATCGAAATTTGTGTTTAAAAGTACGTTTCGTTTTAAGTAACTTTTAACTTCTTTATTGGTTTAAATTAATTTTAAATAAAATAAAAACATTATAAAACCATACAATACATATTTTCCACAAGCAATACTTTTGTAGATTCGCTATTGGGTCATTTCGCTTACATCTCGTTAGCAAACGTACGAATTACATCTGTGGACTTGCACCAAGGAATTTGACAAAAAAGAAATCAAGCAGACTAAATCAATAGTTACTACATAATAATCAAAAGCGTTTGGTATTGCGCCAAAATCATTAGTGGACTCAAAAAGTGTTTGAAAACTAGTGTTTTTGGACATTTTAGGTATACAAAAGTTTAAGTTTCTGGCAAATTTGACTAACAATGCCTATAGAGTGATTAAAGATTGGAAAACGAATATTTGAAAACAGCTTTTCACCGCTATAGTGGTTTGGTTTTAAAACTCTAAAGTTCTATCGTCATCGGTATATCAATAATTT